TACACACCACTCCTATATATCGTTGCGCTTGCATTCCATACGTACACATACTTTTATATTTGAGACTCTGTTAAAAGCGGGATGGTCCCTTTAAAATTTGATAAAGAATAAGCATAAGCTCCGCTATCCGAGCAACATTTCCCTCATATCACACAGCGTCATTAGTGTGAATGGTGCAGAAAAGTAGGACGCTTCTCTCTCTCTCTAGTCCCGAAATGACCTAGTTTGTGTCGAGTGGACGTTACCCCCCCCCTCTCTCTCTCTCTCTCTCTCTCTCTCTCTCTCTCTTAAAGATATAAAACGAATTAGAACTACAGTTGATGGTTCTCAGTTTTCGTTGTTCAAAATGGATTTAAAGACAATAAATTCTCTATCGATGTTTTTAAATTTAGTGATTTACGACTATTAGAATAAACAATTACGTGTACTGTATATTTAATCCGATTCTCTTGTCGTTTTCTAGCTCTATATTTAGTCAAGATAACTGATCATATAACAAAAGAATCGTGGTAGCTTTGACTAAAACATTGTAATTATTTTCCTTCCATCTGTGTTTGATGTGTCCGATTACTAAATGTCTTTTAAACAGTATATTTAGGATTTTTTTTGGACTCAGTTCGTGGTTAAAAAGGTAATCGGGAAAAGGATAGAAACGAGATATAGGGTTTACTCTGAAATTAAATAATTACTGTACGTGTATTTATTCCGTCCTGATTCAAATAAATACAAAAAAAAACATACAAGGAAATCAACTTGTTCATAAAAAAACGAAGAACTCGGAGAAAACAAGTATTTAGTTTTATTTAAAATTATATACCATTGTTCCTTGTCTTTGAAAAACTGCCAGTTCTTGGTAACTGGAAACGCATCAAGAAAAAAATACTTGGTAATTTTTCATAGAATTTTGGTTATTTGAGCTGATACATTAAATTGTTAAACACAGTCGTGTATGACATGAAATTTGTAAATACAACTGCGTGTGCAGTGAGATTTGTATTAATTACTTTACCATTAATCCCAATAAGAATAGAAAGTTGTGTATAACTCTATTGTATCGGTAGCCTCCGTGAGTGACGTCATGCATTTTCGGAATATTTTCATCTTGATCGGCCATATTAGCGTTTAACACAGATATGGCGGACATTAGCTGACCCACTCAATATCTAAACCATCTCTGATTGTCTAGAGAGTTGGTTATGGGCTAATCATGTGAATGAGTGTCTAAATCATAATTTATATTTAAAGCATTAAATGTATATCAATCTATGTCAAGATAGGATCTATTAAATCAAATTAGAAACAAAAATTAGTAAAAATCGCCATAACTCTTCAGGGATATATTGTCTAGGAATGTATGAATGATCAACGTCCTACTTTTCTGCACCAACCGGGAAAATAAAAACGGAATACGTCATACATTGTGTAATGTGGGGTAATACTGGTCGAACAGTGGCGTTACCGCCGATGCCAAATTTCGTATACACGGATGCCCTCGTTTTTCGTTGCACCCGCATGGCGTAGTGCTTCTCTTTGCATGACACCACCATTGGGGAAATCAAGCTGAAAAATCCAGAGTAAGTTTCTCGGCACATGTCTAGGAACCATTTTAATCAATGAAATCGAATTGTTAATAAGATGCAGTGGCTCGGTGACTAAGACACTTGCTAGCTAACCAGGAGTTCTCGGGCTCGCTCCCGGTGATCGCCGAGACAGTTGCTCGTGGTCTTCCGGCGTGGTGCAGGATGAGAGGCCCAGCAGGGAATAGTATCTAGTCGTTCGTATGGGACGCAAAACCGAGGTTCCGTGCACCTAAAGAATCGTGTCCGTAAAAAATGTCCCTAATAGCACAATGTATGGCGTATACCTGTCTTCATCAGAACATTAATAAGAAGCAGACTTTACTTATAAATAAATACGGAGATGAGGTATTAACATAAAACAGATGATTTTATTCCTACTTCTGTATTTATAACAGGAATTTATATCTGTCAATACATGACAATTTATTCACGAAAATGAACTGTTTTAGGAATTTATCGTTTATTTTAATTTAGGAGTTTATTTAAAACTTGTTTGAAATCAACATACCCCCAAAAAAACCTAGGCCCAACTTCCATGCTTCTTTCCAGAAGTGCACAGCTCGACCAAAAAATGTTAGATATCCGCCCCACTAGAACTGCAGGACCGGTTTAAGCTTGCATGCCACCGACGCCCTTGCGTCAGGGGTGATGTTTTGGTAATTCGTATGTCAGTATGTATTTGTATATCAGTATGGTAGATTTATTTGTATGTCAGTACAGTAAATAGATAGATATATTCATTTGGGACAAATATATATATATAGTAAAAAATAATTGTTTAGCCCTAATTTGGAATCCCCTTAAATATTGGGGCCGCTAGCTACATGCTAGTCAGTCCCCATCTTTTTTATCCAATATGAATGGAAATTACACTTGAACAAAAGGAAAAGTGAAGAACGCAAGTAAAAACCTGAGGAACTGTCGGTTGTATGTCAATCAATATGTGTTATGGAAATGTATCACCTATTTCTGTATTGAGGTGTTAAAACCACTTAAAGATAAAACCTAAACTGACGTCCTATAAATATTTTACATATGGTCTCCAGAGAATCATTTATTGTATCATAACGAGAGGGAGAGAGGGGGGGGGGGGGTAACGTCCACTCGACACAAACTAGGTCATTTCAGGACTAACATACGGCTCACTTTTATCAGTAGGAGGAG